AAAGTTTGGATTCCATTGAAAGCATCAAGGAATCGAAATGAATTTTTCCACTTTTCACCCACTAGACAGATCAACTTATCTATGCACACTGATCACAACAGACAAATTAAAATTCAACGTGCCAAGGATAGCTCGAACCATATTCCCGCTATTGTGCATCGTTTCATCGCGGAAGGTTATTAAGCCCAGCAGATAGGGAGGCAAAGGTACGTATACAATAAACCGAGCAACCGAGCGTGACACGAAACGGCGCGAGGAAGCGCAAACATCCATTTACGCTCGCAACGGATGCGTAAATACGTGCGCAGAAATAGAGGAATAAGTGGACGTTGAGCGTGGCTATTGGCCACGTGTGTACAAAAAGGAAAAGCAATATATACCTGGTCGGCGGACAGGATATGTTGGATAAACTAATTAACGATTGAACGATGTCGGAAGTAATTAGTCATTTATCCTATTCGTGACGCAATTAAATGCTGGATAGATTTTTTTTTTTATAGGAAATTAATTTGTATATTTTTGTCGTTTGCGAATGACGAATAAACGAAATCAATCCCAAGTAAATGAAAATATATTTTATAGCAGATATTAAAGAAATATTATCTTTATATATATATATATATATATGATCGTTAAACAATATTGAGATAGAGAACAGATTTATGAATGATAATTTATAATTTATGGATAATAATTTTTTTTATAACCGATTAGAAATTATAATTTATAGAAATGTTGCAAAAAGTTATATCAAAACAAGCAAAAAATTCTTAATAAAAGTAAAACATTTTTATTAAAATGTATATTAATCTATGTAATAGATTAGATAGTTGAAGACTAATTTTCATAAATATTAGATATTTCATATCATAAATATTGCAGGTTTTTCCAGAATTATTTAACCTTTAACAATCTTCAATAAACCAAGAATATTTATTTATTTTTTTTTTCACATTAGCATAAATAAAACGTAGTTATATATTATTTGAACTTCATTATTAAATTTATATTTTTTGTCATTCAATATGCATATCTATTCAAATAAATCATTAAAGCTTTAATTGCTTTAACAAATATTGATGATATATAGAGAGACATAGGTAAATAGCTTTTTAAAGAAATAAATTTTAAATTTTTAATTTTGATTTGAATTTGAAAAATTGAGAGAGAAAATTTTGTATCTTTAATCTTTATTTTTTATTTTATTAAGATGAAAGGAATAGATAAATTAATAATTTTCCATAAGATTAAACATTAGAAATATTTTTACGTATTTTTTAATGTTTTTAAAAATAAAAATAATAAAAATACGATTGTGATAAAAGTACATTAGTTATACATACATTTTTATCTCATTTTTATCTTTATCCATGTAAATTCTCAGACTTGTGCTAACTGGACATTTCTTGTTCATTTTCTGCAAATAACGCGTACCTTTGTATTTCGCAATTCTATCTTTAAGTCGCTTTGTATCGAACAATTTTATCTTAATAAATATTTGCAAGATATATCTGTGTATTACATTATTATTTACGTAATTTTTACGTAATAATTTTTTAGTATTATTTATAAAAAAATTTAAAAAAAAATCTAATAAGATTCGAAATAATCATGAAATCTACGAAAATCAATATTTATTAATATTGAAGAAAATAATAATTACATTATATAGTATTGACTGTAATTATTTTCTGAAATTATTTTGTACAATTATATTGATAACCAATAAAATACATTTCAACAAATAAAATATTACACTTTATCATGAATAACAAGATATATTTTCCAAGATAATTATATTACAACCATGAACTATGTATAAATTTATGTATACAATAATATGAAGAGAAATTGTACAACGAGCATGAATGTAAGCCAAGCTTTAATAATATGCAGGATACCAAATTCTATAGTTATATCCGGTGAATCATGGAAAAATCATATAACAAATATGCTAACAATCGAGCATAATGCATATGCATTCCCAAAATTCTAGTTAACTACAACACGGTCCATAAATTACTTTCAATATCTGTGAATATCAAAATATAGTGAACATGTATCTCAATCTGCAGGGATTTTTACTCGCGTAAGGTTGTACAAACTTTTATGAAAGCCACATTAAATGCACATTTGACACGTTTGATAAAATCGAAATAGCACTACTCTTTGTACTCAAATAATAATTTTCAAATAACAATTTTTTTAAATCGAATTTTTGCTAATTATGTTCAATTGGATTAAATTGATTAATCAGAAAAATAATTATCTTTTTTTCAACATAGAATTAAATTAAATTTTTAAATTATTTCAGATATAGAATACAATTTTTTAATAACAAAATCTTTTGTGTATATTATATTATACTATCAACAATATTATACTATCACAATATAAACAATTCTCATTGTAAATAAATTGTAAATAATTTGAAAAATTCTATTCTAAGCGACTAATAATAATATCTATTTTCCAATTCAAATTTACAATAATATTACGCAACAAAAGTACACATAATAATAAGAACAATAATATTATATAAAATTATTCTTTCATGTCAATTCATGCAAATCGAGCAAAGCTTAATTAATCTCTCGATATAAAATTACGTAAGTTTAATTTCAAAAAAAAAAAAAAGAAAAATAGAAAGAAAATCAAAAAAAAAATAAAAAAAACAGGTCAACGAAAACACGTAATAACGATGCTTGTTTTTCTTCAACTTGCAACCTATATATCCCAACAATTCTCATTTTTCCCCTACTTTTTCATCAAGAGAGACAACAATACGAGGCATATTTGCGGAATAATGAAGCAAGCCGGGACAAGGCGCGACAAAATCTTGACTGACAGGAAACTTGGATCAAAACTACAAGAACTGGAGTAAACTCTCGGTGTTCGACGGGAAATTCATCCGAACAATTATCTTTGGAATGAAATGGCACCAATTAAACGAGTTTCCCCCGGTTCTTCCCTGCAAAAACGACGTCGGTACTAATTAGCAAAGTCCACGCTCCAAGTGAATTTCATACTAATCTATCTACGAGTCTTGGATGCTTCAACAACTATCTATCCTGCCTCATACTTCATAAACGATCCGAAGTACTTTCAACATTGCTACTCGGCAATTTCTTCCTTACGATACGATATATATCCTTAGAATTTCCCTTAGACGCACAGTATTTGGTTAATTTTAATTTCCACCATTGTATGACGTTATTTCGTTATGAAATACTTCTCTTGGTTAATATTTCAAAACATTTGTTTATTAGATAACCAAGAGAAGAAAGAAAGAAAAGAAAAAAAAATATAAAAAGGAAAAGATTTTGAAAATAATAATAAAGAATTGAACATATATATATTATATATTAGCCAAAAGTTGAAAATCATTAACAAAATCACTTTTAGTAGCTTTGAGGAATAAGTAACTGAATCTTTAATACACTATTATATATTATATATTAAATATAATTAATTTTGACAATTCTAATAAATAATTTCTATATTAAGTAACTTTCATAATTATATTTAAAATTAAATAATATATAAAAAAAGTAATTCTACTTAACAAAGATTATTTTAAGATTATAATTAATAGTGAACATATATTTGATAAAAGAATTTAAACACTAGCGCATTTAAGAAAACGTATTAAGATTTAATCCATACAAATTATACCATGTTAAGATTTATTAAGATTATTAGACATTACTTTTATCGTATATAATATAAATAAAATAGACATATGCCAATTGGCAATATTCCCGGCTTGCCTTCTACTAATGAGGAAGAAGAGGAAACGAGCATTCGTGCATACGACTATCCCGCGTATAACTTTTCACATAAAACTACATAAAACAACGGCAGCCACTGCATCTCTTGATTTGCCAAGTTTTATAGCAAGATGGCATTGTTCCGGTACGAAAATGCCCGGTATGAGAAAAGTTAAGTCCATTTACAAATATACACGCGCCTACGTATATTTCAGAAAAAGAAGATTCATAAATATGAAGCATGGAAAATTCTCGAAATCTTATTTACTAAATATGTAGAACATATGTATTATATATCTTTTCTTATATATCGTGTAATTGACAGTTATATTCAATTTATATTAGTATTATATATATTGTATCACTTTGTTTCAAAACTTTCTAGATTGTCGAACATATCATCGATAATAAACAAAACAAAAATTTTTCAATCCTCTCAATAATGATTTGTTTTGAAATATATTTATCGCGACTGAAGATTTGTTTTGGATCTTGGCCGATGCGTATGATGAGTCACTAATGTTCGAACCAGTTCATTCCGAGAGCTATTTTTAATAAATACTTGATATGATTTATCAATCTTGAATATTCCTTAGAGTATAAAGTTCACATTGACTATTTAATATTATCTTATTTAAAACTTTTAACATATTAGTGAAGAATAAGAAAATATAACCTCAAAATTTTTGTTTCGTATATCTATAATCTTTAACAAAAACATCTTTAACAAAACATCTATAATTTAAAACAAAATCCGATGAATATATTAATTTTTCGAACACCCTGTAATTCTGTCTATATATGTATATTTCGCCCCCACATGTATTCAGTATTCACGCATGCTCCTTTCGCTCGGAATAGCATTTATTCAGTTGTCACGCAACGAGATCACGAATATGACCTTAACAATTGCCAAGGAATTCTATCGAGCGTACTTTATACTTTTCGTTCATTCGTCTCTCTCGAAAAATTATCGAGCTATTTGAAAATTATGGAATCGCGAATCGAAAGTTATATTAATTCATTGTATCAAGAAAAACTAATTTCAAAGGGAACTTCGAAAGATAAGCAATGATATCGATAACCAAACATCGAACATGACGGTCCATCTGTCAGCGTAATCTCAAATAAATTTTCCCTTCAAAATTACTTTATGTTGAATTTTAAAGTCGAACAAAAAGAATAAAGTTTTGATTTGTTGTAACTATGTATAAAAAAACATGTACTTACCAGGGAAACTGTGCGTGCATGCGATGAACCACGCTGCAATGAATAGAACGCCAAGGGTCTTCATTTTTCTTTGCACCAGAAAGTTGCTCCGGTAACTTTCTACGACGATGATTCGATTAGTACTGACGGGTTCGGCTTCTTGCGAACGGGACTGTCACAGAACTCGCGAGAGGATCAAGGTCACTCACAGAACCAGCTCACTGAAACTCCCTGACGCTTTGCACCACGACTTTTGTCTCGCGCCACTCTATATGTGATCGTTCGCCTACTGCTCGACCAATCGTCACGCTTCTTGTCGAGATCACGTGAACAGTAAGTCACGTGATCGTAGGGCGCGCTGCTTGACTCATAATATATCTTTTCCCGGTATTACTAATCCCATGCTACGTCTACCGTATTTAACAGTTGTCCAATCATAATCATTGTGCGAGCATTCCCTGCAATCATAAATTTTATACTGAATTATATAATGAAATCATTGATAATATAATGATAGGGAATCAAATGTATTTTTACATTACATTACATTGGTACATTAATTTGACGAACAAATTTTTTCTTTGTTTTTCAAATTTTAATCATGATATCACGTTGATTACAGAGTACAAATATTTTGAATGAATAATTAATAAATAAATAACTTGTAATCAATAGTAATTGTATTTGTTCTCTAAAATGCATTTAATAATATAATTATTTTAACATTATTTTAACATAATAATAATTTTAACATTCATAATAATAATTCATAATAATCTGAACAGGAATATCATGAAAAATTTTATATTTTATAGCAATGATATTCAATAATTATCATTTTAAATATAGAATTTTCGTATATTGTTTTTTTCTATTATTGTCAAAAGAAAAGCCACATGAAATTTATATAATAATAATTATTTGAAATAACTGAATTTAATGTTATTTATTACGTTTTTCTAATATGAAATAAATAATAAAATAAATAATAATATATAATAAAATATATGAATAATTATAATTAATTAAATTATAAATTTTTTTATTAAAATTGTAATTAAAATAATTAATTTAATTTGTAAATTGCATATTTTTATTTAAAATACATGTCCAAAGAAAATATTTATAAATCATTATCAATAAAAATATCATATCATATCAATAAAAATATTAGTATACATTTAGATTGTTTTATATTTTGACTTTGATATATTTTTTTTCAATATTTTTAGAATTATTCTAAAAATTAAACTGTAAACAATTTGTCTGCAAATTCACGCTGCAAATTATGTTATGATAATATCTTTGATTTATTTATAAATCTTTTAACGTAGTTAAGTAATTATGAACAAGTCTATAATCACATAAGTACTTGATTACAACAGATTAAACAATGTACATAATTTGTTTCACTGCTTCCGTATTCAAATGCTTATATATAATTATACAAATTATTCTTTTTTCCGCGAAGTATCGAATAGTATTTATATCGACAAATAAGACATAAAAAGCAGAAATAGTATTTGCGTCAAGTTTCGATGTCTTGAATATAAAAAATGTGATTAATTTTCTTATTCATCGACAAACAAACTAATATTTTTAATATTTAATAACTGAACCTCGATAATCTTTTCAAGGTTATAATTAATTTTTCTTGCATAATTAATAAAGTGAACTTATATAATTAATAAGCTAATAATGTCTCTTTGCACAAGAGCCGGTTTATTTATTATGTGCAATAATCATTTAAAGATGAATTAGATTTTTCTTTGTTGCTTTATACAAATGTAAATACAGAATTCAAAATTACAAATCAACAAAACAAAATATGATAAGTCATAATTAAATTAAAAGATAACTATTTGTCTTCTATTCTCGTTTCATTTTCAACTGAACTTATAAAATCGATTATTCTAATAAAATATTAATTTAATAAATTTTAATATATTATTTTTATTTATATAGAAAATAAAATAAAACTAAAATTTAATTATTTAAATAATGTTATACTTTAAATCATATTTTTCAACAACTATATAATCACAATATCTCGTATTAAACGTTAATTATAAAACACGCGATAGATTAATTCTCATATTTCATTCGAAATGTATTTTTAATCTTTTTAATAAATCTTACACACACAAATAATGCACAGGTAATACCTTCACAGTTAATAATATCACCAAACATATATAATTAATCATTTTTTATAATTATACCATAAATAGAACGATAAAGTAACTTTTTACGCAGTACAATATAATAATTTGTTGTAATTGTCAGGGGAACAGGAATATACACTTTAACCTCGTTTCCATTAACCGGCCAATGCGTATCACTTTACGAATCCCAAGTCATCATTGATAAATTAAAAATTTTGAAAATGAACGATCTTTTTTTGCAATCAATTCAAACAAAATTCAAGCGAACAAAAATTTATCGATCAGATCACGTAGTTCGTCTTAACTAATGATGTAGTTTGAACGGGTCACTGATCACGTAAAGGTATAAACCATTCTACAAATAAATGTCCGACACTACATATGAACCGTTGTAACGCACTTTAAGCGATTATACAGCTGCAGAATATAAATGTGAAATTTTATCATTGACGTTACGCGTATGTTCCAGCAAATTTTCGAGATGTTATTTATTTGAAAAATCGGTATCAATCAATAAAGTTCAATTGTTACCATTGTTTTCATCATTTCTTTTTTTTTTGTTTTATATTCATTTCCTTCGCACTTTCCATACAATGCATTTTGTAACGATTTATCCGGAATTTATATTAAATGTACAGATATTTAATATAATATTCAATATAACAAATTTGAAATATTACATACCTAGTTCCAAGTATTGTGAGTGATTGGATTTGATCTGTATAACTAAATTAATTGCAGCGTCTGATAATATAAAAAAGATGGAAAAAGAAAAGTAAAAGAACGTGTTTTGTCTTTGCTTGTCAGTAATTAAGAGTTGGAATAAGGGCAAGGATTTATAAGAAAATTAGAATTAGTGAGACATCTAGTGGCGAGGATAGAAAGGGCCATCTACAAATAAAGTGAAATTGTTTGAAAAATGTGTACGTGTATATCATATTTTCATAGTATATAAATATATGTAATTTAGTTTATTGTGTATAACACGAATATGTTACGTAATCCAATGACAAGTGTGTTGATAATCGATGTAAATATTAATATAGAAACCAGAAATAGAACAGTGAAGACATATCGAAAGATTGGAAAATAAAAAAATAAAATAGATTACCGACAGGTCGTGCAACCAAGATAGCGCCACCAATCCCCTCATATCCTGTAATAATTTACTTTCTACGTTTTGCGACGTTTCTCTGTTATAGATTGTTGAAGTCGCAAAATTCGAATGGATTTATTTGGAAGAGAAAATTAGGTGCCAGCGTTAATTTAGTCTCGTAAACAATGTGGTTTTCGTTCCAAATATACGAGAATTTCTGGTGTTTTATCAGACTTTATAAAGTCATGTATTACAATTAGTGTGTCGATATTATGATCTTCTTTAATAATTTTCTAGTATATTCTCTTCGAAACGATAGTGAATTTTTTTTCCCTTTTTTTATTTGTTCTTTCTGATGTATCTTACCATGCAAATATTTTTATACCGGTTTTATCAGTTGTATAATTCGTGAAAAGGAAGTGTTAATCGAAAATTATAAGATATGATTTTTATTTTTTATTCGATTATTTAAGAATAACAAGATAGAATCAATCAATATATATTATAATTATATGTATTCATAAATTCATGATACATAATAATATAATATATTATTTTAACGATTTTGTAAAAAAAAATAAGCTTGTCAGATATATTTGCAATACAAGGTAAAACAACTTTTAATTTTTGATTTTATATATGAAAATAAATTATATATTTCATAATAAAATAATATATAAAAATATAAAAAACAACATATTTATATTATTTATATAATATTATATAAATGTGTTTTTTTATCTCTTTATTATTTAATGTAATGATTCAATTCAATAAATGCACATTTATAATTATTAATGAGAATCCATATTAACATGATAAATTTTTCTTTTAATCTTTTGAAACTTTTTTAAACAATTATTATGTGTATTTTAAATATATATTAATTTCTCTCAATTTTTGTTATGTCTTACATTATAATCGGAATATATTTTCGTATTATTTCCCTACTTTTCTTTATCATTTTTCTCTATCATTTTTTATGTTTTATGTTTTTCTACTTATTACACTGTTAGATTATTTTTAAAGTATTTTGCATATAATATTATTAATAAACTTTTCTAACAAAATTTTTGAAAGTTACAAATTATCAATATTATAAATTCCTCTTGCATAAAACTATTAATTTTCATTAACAAATCATTAACAAATAAATAAAAATATTTTACAAATAAATCTTATAAATTATGAGTCATCTATCTAATTTGATATAAAATTATAATCCATAAAATAAAAGTCCATAACCTAAAATTTGTAACCTATTAATTTATCAATAATATGAATAAATATAATAATTTATAAATATAATTTATAAATGAATAAAATAATTGATTAAATAGAAATAATAAATATTTATAAATTATCTTAATATTTATAGATATTAATTTTAATCGAGAATAATATAAATTTGTTGTTTTATGATTTTATTTTCAATAATTCGTAATCATAATAAAAAAATAATTCACAATTTCAATTTTTCACGTTAAACGAAATTTATGTTTCAGTATCGCAATTTACAAGCAAAGTTTGAATAGATTTCCTTCATTTTATGTATGTATATACTTCTCATTTATGTTAAGAGTCATTAATTCGGAAAACATCTGTACATGTATCTGTAGCCAAGTTGTATTTCTCTATCATTCAAATAATTGCGAATGAAAATGTATGCACGTACAAATAAGAGATAAATGTCTAATGCTCTTATCATGGTGCTTGATGGAATGAGTTTCTTTACTCAATGTACATTTTCACAGGATTAGTTTCGTTCCAACGTTGAATTTACTCGTTTGACTCTCTTTCCAGTTGTGCATACATATATACACACAATGTTTTGCAATATAAAATTTATATAATTCTAATCATCATATTATGCATGAGAATAAAGATAATGAATAAAGGTAATACATATAAATTTTTTTTTATTTAAAATATTTAATATTGAAAATAAAGCAATTCTTATTTGAATTACTTTTAAATTACATAGTTATTATATTTTTATTATATTATAACTAAAATATTTTTAAATTATTAAAAAAGAAATAAGTCATGTTTCTATAATTAAATAATTATATATTTCAAAAAAATTAGAATTATTTCTGAAATGAAATTATTATAATTATAATAAATATATTTCTTATAATTATTATTATTATTTTATTATTATAAGAAATTAACTTAATTATAATTTATATAAATCTATGATTTATCATAAATTTCAGAATATTAACTAAAAAAAATTCCAAATAGTTTTTTAGTTAATTTTTTTAGTTAATTTAATTGATTAATTCGATCTGCATTAAATTTTAATACATAATCATAGAATTATCATGAATGAATAACATAGATAATTGATAGAAATTGTAATTAAACATAAAGGAATTTTTATTGAAATAATTGTTCGATTATTTCTAATAAATGATATTGATTTAAATTATAATTTAATATGAATCAAATTCAATATTATAAAATTTGGGATAATCATATGATCAATCATTGTTGACTTGATAAAAAAGAAAAAAAAGAATTAATAAACTATTAATTTGAAACTCAATTAAATATAAAATTTTTAATGAAGAAAAACAAATAATTAAAATAATATTTAAATGATTTCAATATTATGATTTTTTAATAAAAATAAATTAGAAAATTTATTTAAAGAATAAATAAAAAATAATATAAATAGTTAATGTTGAAATTCTAATAATAATTATGAATTACTATTAATATTAATTATAAATCTGTATTATCAAATTAACATATCAATAGTTAAATTAAAGGCGATAACACATTTATTCAATTAAAAATGTATTTTGCAGCTTTATTCTTTTTTTGTACATAATAAATCGGTAATGTATAAATATAAATAATATGTCAAATTATTTTCAGATTATAAGTCAGCTATTTTAAATGATAATGCTGTTTTAATTTTTTGCAAATTTTATACAAAATATATAATATCATGACACATTCAAAGAATTGTTACATATTTCTATTTACATCGTAATCTTAAAGTAACATTTATTTTCTTAATGAAAATCAGAACGTTGATAGTATCTATATACAAGATAAAGAACGAGAATGTTAAATAAAATATTTTTTAGATAATGTGTCGTCCTTTTCATTATCGGTTAATGGTGCAATGATAGTAAGTACTTCTCTGAGACTGGTACCACATCGTTGTGCGACGCAAATGTTGAGTCATCACGTCTGGAAATATCATAATTACATCGTTCAAGTATATACATATATTTTCTTCTTGAATGTATATGGTCTACCAGGTAAATGGTGACGTGTCTAGAATATTCGAGCTTAAACTACAAGATTTCCTAGTAGAAAAAAAATAAAATAATGCACCGAAGATTTTATGTTTCTTTCAGAATTGCATCCGAAGATTGTGACTCGAAATTTTAATTAAGCTATTAAATTATCCTGACTCAACGGAGTGAATATTTTATTAATGATTAATTAGAATTATATCATACAAGATTAATATATTCTTTTTAAAATTTTATTATAAAAATAAATTATTATATAGAACATATACAGGTGAGTCGAAAAGAACTATTTTATAAAAATTATCTTAGGAAACTTATTAAATAAATTCACTTTAATATTTTTATTTTTTTCAGAAATATCAAGATAATTACATGTCGCATTATTTTTTTAAATATCTATAATAATGTGAATATTCTAATTTATTCAAATATATATTCCAACGCAATTTCCGTCTTTATTTCTAAAAAATGTGATATCATCAAGGAAAATCAATGAAAATATGATATCATAAATAATTCATCTTTTATCACTACCATTATAAATACCTATATATATATATATGCAAATATGGAAAGCAAAAACTGCAGTTAAACGTCAAATCCCGCTTAATCCATCCAACGCATCAGAAGCTTGCGTAAGCTTTATTTTACATAAACAATATATGGTAAGCATTGAAACGCGTCTGCGTGGCGAAAAATCGTTCCACAACGTACGATTGATTTTCCGTGTTCACAATATAAACCCCGTAACATTATATATTTCTGTAAAGGATGAATTATTTGCCTTATAAAAATAATTTTAAACACTCAATGCTATTCCAACGCGTTTATTATTTCGCATTCGTATGACTAGTGCGTGATTTATCCTTACTCATTTCATAACTGATTTGGAAAGGCATTTTTCAAGATCCATTTATCGAATCGAATGACAACATATCGTGACATATTGTCAAGGTTAGCAAGGTTCTTATTCATGTATTTCCGCGAAAAATTTGTCGTTAAATTCTTATCTTCAAGTTTGTTAAAATAGTTTATATTGCGGTTTTATTTATCTATTTTTTTTTTTTTTTTTAGAACTGGTGATCCATTCAAGAGACCAAATATGGAAAAGAATTATTCTTTCAAGAAGGAACATGATATTTTTACTCATTTTTGACGCAGATCATTTTTACAACTGCTGTAGAATTTTTACAATTTTTATTGTGACGAATACAAGAAAAAGAAATAAAATTATTTTTAAATAGATTATTATTTAAAAATAGAATTCTATCTAAAATATTGTTAATTATATATTGAATTCAATATATATAATATTCAATATTGACAGATTGATACATATTTTTAAAGTTAAACAAATTTTGAATTTAACATAAAATTGTTATATTAATTAAATGCAAAAAGTAAGTATTTCTCTTGAGTTCCACGTATCTAATATTCCATAAGTTTTATTCACCATCTTTTATGCTTTGCGGACTCCTAATCGAGCTCTAAAATTATCTGCAGGAACATATTCAGACGTCACTATCTGTGTTAAGGTCGAGCGAAGGAAAAGTGGAGCAAATATTCGTTCATCATTCTTGAATAGACATACACGCGAAAGCTTCATTGACGGAATAATGCAACAAAAAAAAAAAAAAGAGAGAGAGAGAGAAAGAAAAAAGAAAGAAAGACGAAATCAATTAAAAAATAGATTAAAAATAAAAGATACTCGATAAAAAAAATTTTGTAAGAATATACCAACGTAAAAAATTAATCTCGACATAGAATAATCGAAAGGTATCACCCCAGTAACCCTCTGGTATCAAGCGGAGCCAGGCACTGTTTATGGATTATTCGAAGCACGGTGGTTTAGCTTGGTTGCTATAGCTTAAACACCGTTTTCCACCTGTGTGCCACCTTTCGTCAGCCTGGAGGAATCTCTCAAGGGTTATACTCAACGTGAGTCGAGTCGATCACGGTTAGTCACACAGCGAAGTGCCCTTCGTCCACTCGGTTAGAACTGTCGAAAAATGGGAGAACACTCGTCCTGGAGGATATCTGAGAACACTCGAGAAAGATCTTACTCGGGTGGCGGTTGATAAGCCGTCGGTCGTCGAGCGAAATCGATCTTGTGAGTAGACCTATTGAGAAGCATCAAGATAAATAAAGAAAAAAAAGAAAAAAAGAAAAGGAAGAAAAAGAGTGATACAGAGTGGACAAATGTCGTGAAAAAGACGGTTCGAGGACGTGGAAGAGGTTTAAAGAGGGATGTCTGAATGGGTGGTGTCTGCTCGTTTCGAGATCGCGGTAGCCAGGTGAACGCTGGCTCGATCCTTGATCGTGTGATCAGTCAAGCGAGCGACGAGGATCAATGTCTGTTGTATCGTCTGGCCAATTACAAAAAGGGTGGCGAGCTGATCGAGTCGTACAATCAAGGTGGCCAGTTCGAGGTAGAAAAATTGATCAGGGAACAGTTCGGTGTATTGATGTATGCGGACGGTAAGGGGCAGGTGATCAATCGTGCCGAGTATCTACGTTGGAAATTCCGAGACCTCGAGCAAGTTGTGCTTCCTATCGAGGCTTCTTTGTCACAGTTCGATCCTTTGGCTCAATGGAACGATCACGAAGCGTGCTGGCAAATGCAGTACAGAGGTTCGCTAGGAGAGACCCTCCTGCATGTTCTGATTATATGCGATACCAGGATACACACACGAGTGGCGCGTATTCTGCTCAAGTGCTTTCCACGATTGGCCATTGACGTAGTCGAGGGTGAGGAGTATCTTGGCGCTAGCGCGCTCCATCTAGCGATCGCGTACAACAATAATGAACTGGTGCAAGACCTCGTTGAGGCGGGAGCGATCATTTCTCAGCGGGCGATAGGCAGCTTTTTCCTACCCAGGGACCAACAACGAATGAATCCGGCTAAGAATTCGGATTACGAGGGATTAGCTTATCTGGGGGAATATCCCCTCGCCTGGGCCGCTTGTTGTGCAAATGAGAGCGTTTACAACTTATTACTCGACTCTGGCGCTGATCCCGACGAGCAAGACTCTTTTGGAAACATGATACTGCATATGGTCGTGGTTTGTGATAAATTGGTACGTATTTCGTGTGAAATTTTGCATTTTTAATTTTGAAAAATATTCTTCCGCGTCATATGTAATTCTATGTATATTATTATTCATACTGAATGACTTTGATTTTTGACAAGATTTAATATTCGTTGATATAATATTTAAAATTAGTTTAAAAAATTTTAAGTATTTTTAAATATAATCTAAAAAATTGATAAAATTTAAATTTGACAAAGTTCGCAAATACATACAGTTAAGTTTAACACCTGTGATCGTAAAAATGTTATATAAGATAAGGGGTTAATCATCCTTATATGGGTTTAAGCGAGATAATCGAGTTAGCATCCGCGACATCAGACAGAGTCCATCGAACGAGCAGGCGAATTAATCGACTCACCATAAATTTCATTTCGCGTACCCTACATCAAGTAAACAGTTTATTCGGTTATCCGATATAACGTTACTCTAACAAGAGGGTATTCGTCCGGAAACGGGCCGGAAAAATTGATCAGCTATTTTAGTCTCCTTTTAAAGAAACTATAAAGATTTTTAAGTGAAATTTTATTGATTTTTCACAATTCTATGTCAAATTTTACATAAAATTTATATGAATTCTATTTCAAATTCAAATTCTGATTTCAAAAATCAAGTATATAAATAAACTCAAAGCACGAAAAATTACAATAAAAGAATTATATTTCAAGAATAATTACATAAAAATAATTTTATTCCAAAAATAAATAAACAAAGATATGAAATAATAACAAAATTTGTAAAGAAAAAAAAAAAAGGAAAAGAAAAAATCGTAACCTAACCTAATTTCACACGAATTATCTTGTTTTTAAACAAGAGACCGCTCTGCGTGTTCTATTTTTCCCATCCAGAAAGATTTCCGCTAAATCGAGTACAATAGCACGGTTGTATAATGCAGGACATGTTCGGATATGCTCTCCGTCATCCGAAGCTTCCTGCTCGCAATGGGATTGTGAATGCCGCCGGACTGACCCCATTGACTCTCGCCTGCCAGTTGGGCCGTGCTGAAGTCTTTCGGGAGATGTTGGAACTGTCCGCACGAGAATTCTGGCGCTACAGTAACATCACCTGCTCGGCGTATCCCCTGAATGCGCTCGACACGCTGTTGCCTGATGGCAGAACAAGTACGTCGTAATGCTAATCGAATTACACGCTTTCGAGAATCATCGTCCTGACGTTCGTCGTATACGAGTTCAAGTATGCCACTTACTTTGTGTCGTGCCTTCGTGTAATTGTCAAGATTCAAGGCCGAATCATCTTTATATAGCTTCGCCGTTTTCGGTACAGGTTAGATTCAAAAATACAGTAAACGTTGGATAACGGCCAATAATCGAGATTTAGACTACTAGCACTTGTGGAATAGTGAAATCGAAATTTAATCCGATATTTCAATCAAATTTTATCGAATAGAAAATGAGTAAGAGAAAAAGGATTAAAATTTAATATATAAACGTATCGAATGAATTTCGTAGTGTGTAGAGGGAGTCTAAGTCTTTCTAAATCAATGGTGGGAATAAATATATCGAACATATATATCGTTTTGGGAACTTATCCAATGTTCATTGTATCATGTATGTATAATTTATAAAGAAAATTAACGACTTTAAATATGCATCTCTATTTTTATGAATTAATTAAGTCTATCAAATATGCATTCTTCTCACTAATATTTTTCTCAATTTTGCAATTATTTCATCTCTTTAAGATGATTTTGTAATGATATTTCGAAATTTCTGTTTTCAAATCAACCAAGCAATCACATTTCTTATACGTTATTCAACATAAATTCAATATCGTTTAATTTCCATAAAATTCGTCTTTTATAAAGAGATGCATCGATGGAGCCAGATTTCAACCTTGCCACGATCTGCATTTAAAGAGGTTGGCAATCGGACTTTGCGCCAAATTGTATCGAAGTTTCCTCCAGTCTCTCTCTCTCTCTCTCTCTCTCTCTCTCTCTCTCTCTCTCTCTCTCTCTCTCTTTCTCTCACTTTCATACTTGATTCATCTTCGAACTCGTGCAACGGGAATGTATCTCACGATAGGGTGCGAGTTTTCCAGACGTTTGGGTGATTCATGGATAACGTTTGGGATGGGTGAAAGAAACATACATAGATAAGACGGAGTGAAGAAAGAGAGGGTGTTGGGCGGAAGATTGTGCAATGTTGG